CCCCCCCCAAACACACAATCTCAACCTACGATCATCCTCACTGGATGCTCTTAATCCAGCCAAAGCACAGCATCTGCATTGTGCCCATTTCTAGGTACCATAGTTTAATCTAGAAGCACATCGAACACCAAGCGAGCGGGACCAGAACAATATATGCGCTCCAGTGTGGTCTTTATCGATGCCGAAGGCAGGGGATGTAGTGTAAGTGTATGGATCGACCTCTGATGAGAAATTCGAGAAACTACCCTAGAGTTATGCGGAAGGTGAAATACGCCGAGTAGTCGATTGTATGATCGAGTGAGGTCTAGGTTTCACCAAATTCCGGTAGGGGCATTAGAGATTGTGGATGTTGGATAGATACATGTCATTGAGGTAATTAGAATATAATTCAAAGCTTTGGAACAGGACAGACTGTGTGTTCTCATGTAGAGGCCAGTTGCTGTGCCTGTGACTCAGGATTTGATAGACATGCGAGGTAGTATCTTCAATGTCGACCGGTACATTTAGTAGACCTGGTCTGGGTGATCACTCCGGAGTATTGTTCCAGTCTACTATCCATTTTTCATAAACCCAAGTAAGCACCTAGTCAAAAATTTGTTAACAAGGGATACAGAGGTTGCTACAACCCCAACCAGGTAATGTATAGATCATGAAGTAGCTGTAGGTTAGAAGCTGGCATCTATATTTTAGTCTATTTCTTACAGAGACATTTGAGAACTGGGGTTCATAGCATAGTGGGCCCTCTGGTTGACCTTGTGGTATATAGGGTTCATTGTCGGTTATTATAGACATATTTAGTCGAGCGCCCTTAGAAATCACTTTGTTGGTATTATTTCCGTCAGTCTAGATATGGTTTCTGTTATCTCTTGGTCGTGGTAGAACATGGAAAATAGGAAGACAGACCTAGAACAGTGTAGGGTTATTCTAGAATAGTAACCCAAGGTGAATAGAATCTTTTATATAGATTCAATATTCCCACATTAAGTTCAAGTTTGAACACACGAACCCTCAATTACCGACTCTACCTAATTTCACGCAACGCACAAGCCTCGCCTTGCACGTATCACACAGCGAGCCGAAACCAACAAGTACCAAATACTGCCGTGATTGAATAAGGCTGGACTTGGCGTATGCCAATCAACAGACACACGGACCATGTGGGAGGCCTTAGGGTCCCCATCCTCCATACACATAATGATAAGATGGAAGTGTTCTGTCTGAAAACGTCAAGCGTATACATATGTGGGCTTTTCCCAACGTGTCGTTGACGGTCTACGTTCTCGTCCTACTCAATTCTTCTTTTCTTGTAGACTTCTTTGTCTATTCGATACGATATTTTCAATCAAGCGAGGCCTTTAGTTTCCAATCGATCATAACATTATTTGGCTCTCCCACCGTTTATATCCTAAACCCTTCCCAGTCCTTCTATAAGAACTCTATATAATATCACAATAAACCAGATCCACCAAAGCAAAAGAAGAAAAAGAACCACCATCATGACCCTTGACCCCCTCTACCACACCCTCTACAACCTCCCCTCGCCCTCCCAAAAACGCACCCAACCAATGCAAGTCCTAGCCGTAGGAATCTCGCGCTCAGGAACCGAATCCCTCCGCGAAGCCCTGCACATGCTAGACATAAACCACACCCACCACGGCTTCGACACCATCCTGCCGCCCTCCTCCCTGCAAGCCACCTACCGGCTCCTGCAGAAGAAATACACCGGGCCCCCGACGACCCTCACAGCCAGCGACTTCGACACCGTGCTCGGCGGCTGTGTCGGGGTCACAGACCTCATCGCGGCGGAATTCGCCCCAGAGCTCATCGCCGCATACCCGGACGCCAAAGTCATCCTCAATGTCCGTCGCGACCTCGACGGCTGGTACAAAAGTATGCAGCTGACCATGGGGTACTTTGATCGCAACCCTGTGGACTGGGATTGGTGCAAGAGTTGGTTCTGTGCGGAATTGTTCTGGATTCGCCAGTGTATGTGTCGGACGATGATGCCGAGGTTCTTTCGGGGAAGCTTTGAGTCGAATGGGAGGTGGGTTTATGAGAATCATGTGGCGGCGATTAGGGGGTTGGGGTTGGGGGAGAGGCTGTTGGAGTGGAGTGTTGACGATGGCTGGGAGCCGCTGTGTCGCTTTCTGGGCAAGGAGGTTCCAGATTGTGAGTTTCCCAGTGGGAACCCGCCGAAGGCCTGGGCGGAGAGGATTGCCAGGACGATGGAGGTGCATCATAGACGGGCGGTCCGGAATATGCTAGTGTTTTTGGCGGGGTTGGGGGTTGCTTTGGGGGTGCTGGGGGCTTGGTTGGTTTGTTAGGGCGCTTGAGGGTGAGGCTTTTGTGATATATGTCCTGATTGGCAGGATTGGTGTCGAGAATTTGGCTTGTTCTGGTATGGAATCGTGGATTAACATCACTGAAATTGCACAGGTTCATTGCTCTTCGTAAATAACTAAATATAAGTCAGGAATCTAGGCCTCCCTATCATTCTCCCCAGTCGTATGCTGAAAATAGGTCTGCTAGAAATCAGCTATTAAATCGAAAGACCACCCACATAAGTATAACGTCTAAATAACGCAATCATCGCCACCCTAGGTTACTCTCTATCCCCTATCTCATTATCCTGCGTATTGGCACTCGTGAAGATCGTATTTGGCGACATCAAGGTACGTGTCCTTTGAGCGGCTTCTGACCGTGGACGCTCACGCTATTACAATTTAACAAAAACAGTCAGCTGCTGATCCCACCGTCCAGCTTTCCCTACCAGAACAAGCCGTGAACTTACACGTAAAAATAGGCATGGATCTTTGCATAGTCACGCAAGCCTTTCCTCATCTTGGCCAAGAATACTTGCACCTCCTCGTAGCTCCACTGTTCACGGTGTTAGTATCGTGCGAACAGATTCAATTGTCCCGAAACCGAGAAGAGCTAGACAGAGGGCCGTACCCCCATTACACGGGTGAGCAGTGCCATGGACCACCCTTCTATACCCTGCTCGCAATGCAGCAGATTCCACCGTCCCAGCTGTCGATAGTGCTCGTCCTTGCTCCAAGGACCAACAGGAAGCTTGAATCGCCGCTCGGTGACATTCTCAAAACCGGCATCAATCATGTGCTGCCGGGCTAAGTCGGCGATACGAAACGTTTTGCCGAATCTCTCTCCTGCCTCGATGAATATACGTGACCACTCTGCTAGGATATGGTCGGGGGTCACCGTGCCGTCATCCGATCTGAACTGGATTGACATCTCCAGTTGGTCGAACCATGCACCGGGCCGTAGACCGCTGCAGCAATTAGATATTGCGTATCTACAATAGATCAAACAAGCGTGGTGTTCAACAGGGAGCTCTAGTGCAACCTACATCAACATGTTGCGATAGAACGCTGGCCAGTTGGAAATCGCCCCGTAGAGTGCACGCACGTGGATAAGATCGAAATGGTTCTCCGGATATGCCCATGAATCTTCTGCGTCGTCGATCTCAAACCGAAGGTTTGGTGGGACAAAGCTGGGTTGAGTCGGTGATAGGTCAGTTCCAATGATCTCTGCGGAAGGGTATTCATCTGCGAAGTCACTAGGCACACGTCAGCAATCGCAGATGATCAATTTATACTGTTTGACACCAACATAGCCCATATTCCCGTTCCAGTACCAACGTCGAGCACTCTCTGTTGCATTCCGTCAGCTACGTTCCCAGTCGATACGATTAGACCTTACGTGGATATCATCAGAGATAGGGGCAAGACACAATTTGTTTCCGAGAAGCATTGTGAACATATGATGGCTACGATCTCATGTTAGAGTGTTGGAGTGTTGGTTGACCCCGCGCCCAGTACGTACGCTATGTCGAGTTGTTCATTCTGGGTCTCGTCGTTCGGGCCCCTGGTCATCTTAGCCATCCGCATCCTCGGCATAAAGTTACGCGATTATAGTACCAGTAAGCACCGTCCTTGTAAGCATGGTATCGTCTCCCATTTTCATAGCGATAAGCGGTGATCATCGAGTTGATCGAGGTGGTGTCGCTCGCGCTAGGAAGGTCAATATCAGGGCGGGCGATATCTCTCATGGAGGTCGTATCTCACAATTCCTCAAAATAATCGGAATCTGTGCCATCATCCAGCTCTCCCTGCACTGGTCAGCCCCGCGATTTCCGATGACTGAGGTGAATGACAAGAAGGGCAGACGGACCGCCTGATCGTAATTGTCCTCCGCGTCTTGCTCCCTCGGCGGGGATTCCGAGTCAGACCGTGGCGATTTCTGGCGTCTCGCGGCTCCCATAGTAAAATTGTTTGACAGTTACTCCACATCGCTGACAAGAACCGGGAATCTTGGTTATTTTCAACTTCCAGCGTCAGCTCCCCACCGAATGAGGATCCTCACCATTTAAGGTTTAGCCCCAGGCACCGTGCGCCGCCACTGATCGCACCAATGATGCCTGAATACAAAGGCGACGACTCCACTTCTCTGCCACTATCCAGGTGCAGAGTGGAGCCTCAGGTGTGGAGTATTGGCTGTCCTGCCCGGCCTTTGGAGGTGCCGCTGTGCCGGTGCACTTGGAGACTGCCCAAAGAAGCAAGGATGTCTTGCTGAAGAGTCGACGTTGTGGCCTGATACGGTTTTGAGTACCCACAGGCGTGCATGCGATCCAGCAATAAGATCGTCGTACCCAAGGTCAGGAGCGCCTTGCAGCACTAGTCCTTTCAACGGGATGGTGGTGAGTAATGAATGCGACATTGTAGTACCTAGCATTCGCCGGTGAACGCATCCAAGGCGAAGGGAAACCTTATGCGGCCTATTGTTGGCCATTGTCACCTCATTTTCTTTGGCAACATTACAGAAACGGTGCAAAGGCCTTATGGAATGGTACAAAAGCAAGGCAGAACAAACGAGATAGCCAATCCAGCGATGGTCTAACGGTCATGCCCCACCCTCGGCAAAGTTGACGGCCCATTCAGCTAACTGGACTCGGTTTATCAAGAGAAGCGACTGCGGATTTTGGAGACGGTTTGCAGCTGTGGGGGACGCTAGCTTGGAGCTATCGAATCAGGTGGCAACGGGGTCTGAGCGATTTACGACTGAATTGCCGGAGCTCCGGGCAGGATGGAGGAGGAAGAAGTATGCTTAGGCAGTGGGAGTGAGTGGGTTGAGCTGGGTCACGTTGTCGCCATCCATCTTTTAGGGCTCACGTTACGCCATGTAGATCAGTCAAGTTTAGGTGTATTTTATGTCTATCCTCTGAGAACCAACTGGAAAATCGTCATAAGTAATTATTTCGTTAGCACTGGTATCCGACATCTATCCGAATAATCATCAATCATAGCACACATCTGAGATCTATACAGGGATCGATCCATGTCCGAGGCTCGCAAGTGGCTTGAATCAGTCACTCTCATGGCAGCTTAGTCTTCATGAGTGACGGCCATATCCAGCACTTCGACTCGCCCTCTACCCCGAGTGTCGTTGCCCACAAATTCATTTAGTCCCTTAAATGCGCCTGGTTCGGCAAAACCAACAACCTCCCACTCGTCACCGGCAATATCCTGCGACTCGACTGACTCGATGAAGCTCAAGATCTTATCCTTGACATTCGTCGGTGCCTTTGGCTGCGGGGGTTCGGCATCAGAAGCCCCCTCAGCATCGGAATCTTGTTGACGTGCGGACTTCTTCGATCCTTTGCCGCCTTTCTTGTTGGATTTGGAGTTGCCGCCGGACGAAGCTTCCTTCTCTTTGTTCGGGGCCGCTGGTGCCGCAGACTTGACGCTTTGCTTCAGAAGCGGCACAGGACAGGTCACGCGAAGGCGCATCCGTGCTCGCATCACAGGAATGGGTTGCCATGCAATAAGTGCCTTCATAGCTTCGAGGGCTTGTATTTTCGCCGATTTGTTGGGCGTAACACCAGTCCAGAGTGGCTTCCGAGGTTGTGCCGGGCGAGACTCATCGCCAGCACCACTCGCTTCCCCATTGTTGTTCTGACTCTGCGCTTGTTGCATCTGTCCACTCGCCGAGCTCAGTTGATCCAACGCCTTAGAGATCATTCCCGGTGTGTAAACTCGCTTAGTCGTCGGGTCAACAAGCCGGCCTGATACAATATCCAATACCTCCTTCTCAACCCGCTCGATGATCTCCTTTCGCTCGCGCTCGCCAACCTGCACCTCACCTTTCCGTAGGATCTCCTGTCGAATCTCGTCTGCGGGGGTATTGGCACCAAAGGCTTTGGCTATCTCGGCAGACGGGGCGGTTTGTGCTTTCGAAACGGAGAGGAAAATGGTAGGCACTTGTAGGACATTGTCGAGATCTTTCTCGGCACCGGAACGGTACTCTAGGAGTTTGTTCTTGTAGCAGGCGAGTTCAAATCGCTTTTTACCTGGTGATGAAAAAATGTTAGCGGGGTTGCGGGGCTGATCTCGTAAGTTCTAGTTTTCTTTTTTCTTTTTTTTTTTCCCTCTATTCCCTCTTTTCCCCCTTCTTTCACCAACAGTCTTCACAAACAGGTATATCTGGAATCAAGCGCTGAAACAGAAAGAATATTTGCGGACCTTTTTTCAACCTCACCACTGATACATTGGTGAATTTGATCTGATTACTGGGTTGCATAATCGGCATCTTGGCGGACGAGTCTTCCCAGAAGACGTAGAACACAGACTTTGATAAAGAATGAATAAAACAAAAAGATCGATTAACAAAGCGTACGGGGTATCTTTCTAGCTGTTGATGCGTGAAGAAATCATGTCAACTTTTTTGAATCATTTCCGATAGTCTCGTGATTGGCGGAGGCGATGACGCGGGTCTCGTGATTGCATGAGTCAGCGACTTATCGGCATGGCTGACTCAGCGCGTGACTTCTGTTCCCCTGGAGGTCCTCTCTCACATGATTGGCTGCCCTGGGACTGCTATCGGCGTCATTGGCGCCTGCGATCGTTCCCCAACCAACCTAGGCTCACCTCCTCTTCCTCCCCATCTCCTTCTCTAACCTTTTATCACCCGTAGCTGGTTCTTCATCAGCTACTTAACTGTTCCTGTTAGATTTGTTTTTCCTGTATGTTGCAATCCCTACCATATCTCCCATCTACCCCCAATAGCAGCGTGATACTGATAAGCTACTTGCCTAGACCGCAAGGTACCTCTTATCGCCATCTCGTACTTCCATCATAAACACCCCCTTGTTACCTCTCATTTGGAGTCGAAGTGATTCAAGATGAGAGTATTGCCGGCTACTTTGCTGGTGGGAGCTGCCTCCGCGGCCGTTCCGCCTCTCCAGCAGGTGCTGGGTCGGCCTGAGGAGGGCATGAGCTTCTCCAAGCCCCTCCAGGCCTTGCAAGAGCAGCTAAAGACTCTTTCAGATGACGCTCGTAATCTCTGGGATGAAGTTGCCAACTACTTCCCGGATAGCATGGACCATAACCCGGTCTTTTCTCTTCCCAAGAAGCACACCCGTCGTCCGGATTCTCATTGGGATCACATTGTCCGTGGTTCTGATGTCCAGAAGATCTGGGTGAACAATGCCAACGGAGAGAAAGAGAGAGAGATCGACGGAAAGCTCGAGGCTTACGATCTCCGTGTCAAGAAGGCTGATCCAAGCGCTCTCGGCATTGACCCGAACGTCAAGCAGTACACTGGTTATCTCGACGATAACGATAATGACAAGCATCTGTTCTACTGTGAGTTACCTTGACCGCCATTTGGTTATTGGGATGATACTAACTCGCCAAGGGTTCTTTGAATCTCGCAATGATCCTAAGAATGACCCTGTCGTGCTCTGGCTGAATGGCGGCCCCGGCTGCTCTTCCCTCACTGGCCTATTCATGGAGCTGGGACCTAGCAGCATCGATGCGAACATTAAGCCTGTCTACAATGACTTCTCGTGGAACTCTAACGCCTCCGTCATTTTCCTTGATCAGCCCGTTAATGTCGGCTATTCCTACAGTGGCTCCGCTGTCAGCGACACTGTTGCTGCTGGCAAGGATGTCTACGCTCTGCTCTCTCTCTTCTTCAAACAGTTCCCCGAGTATGCGAAGCAGGACTTCCACATTGCCGGCGAGTCATATGCCGGACATTACATTCCGGTCTTTGCATCTGAGATCTTGGCCCACAAGAATCGTAACATCAACCTCAAGTCCGTCCTCATTGGTAACGGTCTCACGGACGGCCTCACTCAGTACGAGTACTACCGCCCTATGGGATGTGGTGAGGGTGGCTACAAGGCTGTCCTCGATAAGGCCACCTGCCAATCTATGGACAATGCCTTGCCCCGTTGCAAGTCGATGATCGAGTCTTGCTATAACTCCGAGAGTGCCTGGGTCTGTGTCCCTGCCTCGATTTACTGTAACAATGCTCTTATCGGACCTTACCAGCGCACCGGACAGAACGTCTACGACGTTCGCAGCAAGTGTGAGGATGAAAGCAACCTTTGCTACAAGGGCATGGGCTACGTGAGTAAATATCTTAACAAGGCTGAGGTTCGCGAGGCAGTCGGAGCCGAAGTCAATGGCTACGACTCGTGCAACTTCGACATCAACCGTAACTTCCTGTTCCACGGTGATTGGATGAAGCCCTACCACCGTCTCGTTCCCGGCCTTCTCGAGCAGATTCCTGTGCTGATCTACGCCGGTGATGCCGACTACATCTGCAACTGGCTCGGCAACAAGGCCTGGACGGAGGCTCTTGAATGGCCTGGCCAGAAGGAGTACGCCTCGGCCGAGCTGGAGGATCTGAAGATCGAGCAGAACGAACACACCGGCAAGAAGATCGGTCAGGTTAAGTCTCATGGAAACTTTACCTTCATGCGTCTCTACGGTGGAGGTCACATGGTTCCCATGGACCAACCCGAGGCTAGTCTGGAATTCTTCAACCGCTGGTTGGGTGGTGAATGGTTCTAGACCGGTCAGTTGGGATTTAGATAAGACATAACTGGATGTGTCTTGATGATATAGTGCTGGCCCAGTGACTGGCGCACTGAATATGTTTCATGCGTAATGTGCTTCAATTGCTTGTGTACTGTGATGTATACACATCAACCTTCATGGTCGCATCGTGCTATGTGTATCGAAATATATATAGGGTATCGATGCGACGACTAGAATACAGATCCTTTTTCATAGAATAATTGCACGTCTGCTTCATTTATTAGACGATGAAACAATTCGTAATCGACCACACAGTCAATGAAGGGAAGAAATATTATACGGGGAGGTCGGTGTTCGTACATTTTCAAAGATAGTAGGAGTTGCACAGGGAAGAGATAACAGCAACGCTATCCTTATCATAAGAGATGACGATTCCACTGATAAGTAGTACTCTGCAGATCCTCCAATATTACATATTTATCTCAGAGCATTTAAGATTTAAAGTCAAAGTATACGATAGGCTAGTAATGAGAACATTGCAGCTATAGGGAGGTATGAGGGAGATGGTTCTACCAATGGAAGCAGGTCCAGTCCCAGCAGACCCTGTTTAGAACAAGGATGAAGATTTTATGTTTCATGTCATATTGGTATGATTGTTTCATTTTCTGACCCGTGCCAATTTTTATATCTAACACCAGATCATGTGCAGGTCCCACGAGAATTCGTTAAAACACACCAACATACAAAAAGGAATTCCCCCATCCCCACCAGCAAGTACGAAGGAAAAAACACAGCTTTGTGACCCTCTCGTATGGCTTAGCCCTTCTTCTTGCTGACACCGACGGTGCGGCCACGGCGACCGGTGGTCTTGGTGTGCTGTCCACGGACACGGAGACCCCAGTAGTGACGGAGACCACGGTGGGAGCGGATCTTCTTCAGGCGCTCGAGATCCTCACGCATCTTGCTGTCCAAGTGGTTGGAAACAACCTGGGAGTCCTTGCCATCGGTGATGTCGCGCTGTCTGTTCAGGAACCAGGTGGGGATCTTGTACTGGGTAGGGTTCTGGAGAATGGTGACGACACGCTCAAGCTCTTCGGTGGTAAGCTCACCGGCGCTGCAGAGAAAGAATCCTGTTAACTATGTTGTCCTGTATCTTCGGTCCTCATCCACTCGATCCTGGTGGCCACCTCCTCTTTCCTCATGATGATGGATTGCCCCCTTCTGCAAGATATCTGATGGTGGAAAAACCGGAAAACATACCGCTTGTTGAGGTCAACATCAGCCTTCTTGCAGACCAAGTTGGAGTAACGGCGACCGACACCCTTGATCTGGGTCAAGGCGTACATGATCTTCTGCTTGCCGTCAACATTGGTGTTGAGCAGACGCAAGATGTACTGGAAGTTCGTCTTCTCGCCGGACACGAGCGCTGTAGATTAGAAAATCACGGTCAGCTTCTTCTTTCTGTACTCTCCATTGTATTTCCGACAACGCCGTTGTTTCATCATCATCATCCCCGTCCATCTCTTGTCGATAACTCCCACGCAAAGTTGCAACCCGTCTCTTTCATCGGGGGGAAAATGGCGGAACGACAAGACACCAGGAATTTTGCAAATCAGAAGCAGCTCGGGATCAGGAGTAGAACGTACACATGATGGGCGGTTGGCGCGAACGGGATCGCGGTTGATTGTCGACAGCGAGAGGGGTGAGAAGGAGTTGAAATCGAGGGCCCGACTTTGCTTTGGACTTTGCTTCGGCTCCCGTTGTGGGATCGGGTAATTACGCTAGGCCTCTTTGGGCATTTGTGCGCTCGCTTACTCTTCTCGCGCTAGTCTTGGAATAGCTAGACTAGTCTTTTGGGACATGGCTCATGTGACACTGGTGTAATTTTCCGGTTTTATACGTATGGTAATATTACGCTTATCGATTGCTTTTCTCTTGTGCTCTCCATATCTCTCTGCTTATCAGTGTGGTCTCCGCAATGGGAACATCTTTCGAGTCACCTTTTTGATATGACCTCCATGAGCGTATGCCAATACTTTATCTTGCTCAGCCTTAATATGTCTGAAGAGACACTAACTATAGTGAATGTTCTCACTTACGTGTCGTACTTTTCCATGTCTCGCATCTCTATGCGCTTGCTCTTCAGGAAAAGAGCATCTCCAGGATACTTACCTGGGATATGCCACTCATATGTGGCACTACTGCTTTTACTCATCTTTGGGTGATTAGACTAATCATTGAACAGCTCAAGATAGCTATAGAATTCTTGGCTCCGGAGAGTGCAGCTTAAACTAGTAGCAAATACACCGCTCTTAGGACAGCCAAATTGCTATGCATACCTACAGGGGCAGCTCCAATTGTTTGAAAATGGCTCTCAACACTGTCTATCTCTATGCATCCATCAAGCATTGGATACTACTAAACAAAGATGGCACAATCTCTTTATGCCATTGTCATGGGCCGAATGCCCTTGTTTCGCTTTCAAATAATCTTAACTGGCCTTATTTCCTCTTTGTTGTTCCGTCTTATATATGGACTGCGTTGAACAATCATGTGTGGACCATGGTCGCTTTAAAATATAAACCAGGATATCAAGATCTCCCTGGTGCAGAAGATACTCCTTCCTGAGACTCCTCAACTGGATTTATCATTTTATTCCATGGAATAGCTGTTGGTATCACTAATGCCTGGAACAAAAGCCGTACGGCATACTGCTTTTCACCTTGATAGTCTCACATCTGTGCTGCGTTTCCCCGACTATTGAACTCAGTTATATCTTGTTCGAAGTGCAGCTAATCTGAATCATATACAATGTCGTCAGAAAACAGTGACGCAAGACCAGCAAAGGAGGAGGATGATTTTAAATATAACCCTGAGCTCAACTACCCCATGGTCAAGCTGGCTGACCTACCCGAGCCCCCCAAGAATTGGCGAGTCTGTGGGCGAACAGCAGAAGAAGCTTCCAAAGCTCGAAAAGCAACCAGCGAGGAAGCGAAAAAGTGGGTTCGATATCACAGTTGGGGCATCGACATGGGAGTGAAGGGTGACTTGACCAATCTCAGATGCTTCAAAGTCCTGTGGAAACTCTTCTACTACCAGCAGGACAAACATCGACCGCAGGATTTTGACCAGATCAAAGACTTTAAGACAAGAGATGCTGGTCCTCGGCTGTTGCAATGTTCGGTGGATGTCCCTGATCTCCTTCCCATTAGTAGGTATTACCCTCACCCACCCCCTGCCACCAGGCTTCCGGCAGAAGGATTCCACAGGCCTCTCGATGCTCTAGCGAGCAGGCCAGATAGTCACATAGAACAGATGCTGTATCCGGTATTTGGCGCACCGAAGGAAATCGACAATTTTCCCGAAGAGATCGAGACACCTACCGCTCAGATCACGGGCAATAGCACGGGAAACAGAAATCAACCCAAAGTGCGTCTTCCCAAAGCCATGGCCCGATCTATTATGGAGGCCATTGAACGCACTGTGATGCAATTCGCCTATGACGACCTCGCGCGAGATTGCAGCGCTGCTGCTCAGGATGGTCAGGTACACCTGACTGCGACGGCGGAAGAAGATCTACGGCAAGCCAATATCGGGTCCTTTCCCGCTACATCCCATCTGAAGCTCGCTGTGGATCCTGACAATAACGATAGACTAGTGTTCAGTGCGGACGGCGATAAATACCCTTACAGAGGCCGCGGACCCGTATACCGCAACAATTCTTCTGCTATCGACAGTATCATTGTCGTCGGTAAGTTGCTCGACGCCGGATCCACCGTACTGGACCGCAAAGATCCCGAATGGCGCGGGCGCTTCACCAATGTGGAAAAGGCGTTTATTGAAGCCACTGAGGTCAATTGGGATCTCTGCACCAGAGGTGATTCTCGAGATCGCTTCTGGGCAGTGATGGCGGCGGAGACTGAGAATGTCGGAGTGGGTGTACAATCTCCTCTCCTTGACATGTGGAATGTGTCAACCGAACACTTCAACCAGTTCTTGTTCACATATGATGAGCAGACTACGTTCTGCTCCCCGTGCACGAGCAGGACTACAAATGCTGCATACCAGAGCGCGACGGTGGCGCCGCCTACATGCCCGGAAGACATCAAGGGAGTATCGATGCAGCAATTGATCTCCCGTTCATTTGCATCGGAATACATCAGCCGCTGCGGCAAATGCCAACAGAAAGCCGTGAAGTGTCGGAGAATGCTGCATGGCCTACCGATGCGCCTGACGGTAACTCTTGACGGCAGTGTGCCCGTCAAGAAACACACCCGAGATATCTCGTTCGACTATATCACGAATGATGGTCAACGAGGAACAGCAGCATACCGCTGGCTAGGCGGGATATACTGTAAGGACGGCCACTACCGGGTCTACTGGAATGACACTAAGCGAGGAGAAGTCGATACAGGCCAGATCCAGATGTATGACAGTGCCATGATTTCGGGTATCATCGTCGGAGGTATCTCCCAAACACACAGGGACGACAAAGTACCCGAAGCTTGGTGGAAGAATAAGCCTGTGCCGCTCCTTGTCTATGAACGCGTTATGAATCCAGATGACGAAGTCCTCAATGTGGCCTTGCACACATTAGGTGACATGGTCAAGGTCAGAGACCAGCAGAAATTACTCCTTCAGGGGCATATTTTCTGGGCCCCCTCGGAACCCTCAAGAGCGCGGGCGGGTTTTCCGTGGAGGCGACTCATCGATCGAAAGGAAGATCGCTTTCATCAGGCCTCAGGCGCTTATGGCCCAATAGGCCAAGGCCAGATATCGACGGAGCCTTCAGGCGTTGATCGCCATACTAACATTCCCGGCCCATCTTCAGCGGGCCCATCGAAGATCGATGCCGGACACTTGACGTCTTCAGCACCCGCGCCACAGCCGCAACCTGAGATAGGGAGGATATCGCCCTCGTTGTTTGATACTCCGACTGCTTCTATGTTTGCTGAAATCTCACCTCTCCTCGCACTTGCCAAGACCCCTTCATTGTCGGGTCTCGAGTCTATTATAGAGGACACCGTGCTGATCAACGAACAGCTCAATGGCCTGCATCAAGGACAATATAGCGCGCAAAATAGCGTACAAAACAATGCACAATCTGATACACAATCCAGCTCGCAGCTTCAGGCGCAGTATAACATACAGCAGACTACGCAGCCGAGTGGACAGCAACACGGCCAGCTTCATGGGCAATGCAACAACACACCGCCGAATACGCAGCACCAGAGACCATATAACACATCTCGCAATACACAGTCTACTACGCGGCAACCAACCGGATATAACGCACAGCATCCGACGCAATACAATAGACAATACAGTGTACAGCCAAGTACACATCCTCACGAACCGCATAGCACACTAAGCGATACATCATTTGACCTGCAGGACATGATACATGACGGGCTTCTGCACGATTGGGCTACTGGAAGCATCGACGACCTCGGTAATACAGCGTTCGGTTTTCCAGAGCTCAGTATCCCCGAACTCAACAACGGCATATTTGTCCCACCCCAGCCGAATCACGCTAACAGTACGAACAGTGCACCAGTTACCGTCGAGCATAACTTCCACTCTTCTCATCAGAACAGCAACCAGGGGGCCTCGATGCCGCAGTATATTGATCCCAGCGTCTTGACTGCAGCTCCGCAGAGTTCATCATCGCTACCACAGCAGGTTCAGCCGAGGCCTATGGAGGGTCGAAGGCCTCCGTCGCAAGTTGCACCTGCGGCAGGTGCTCGATTGCACAGCCACGGGAATGTAGCTAGCCCCTACATGTCAGCAAACCAGATGCCACGAGGGTCAAAAAGAAAAAGAGCCGATGAGACAGAAGCACGGCGGTATCCGCCGAATTTGCGTTGACATCCCTCTTGGCATATTTTCCTCATAAGACATGATGTATTATTCATAGCATTTGAGCGTTTTCTATAGCTTCTCCTATTCTTCCTGTTGAATCATATTATAACATGATGAATTTATTTGTTAAGCGTAAAAGTGGATTGTGGAGATATATTTCTTGGAACCAAGTATTATCCAGCAACATATCGTGCGGCCCACACACTCTAGTCACCAACCTGTCCACACCACACCAGTCTCAACACTCGCATTAAATGACTTAAGGAGAAAGGGGTCAGTGAGCGGCATTTGCTTCCGGGGAATTCTTTGCCTGTTTAAGCGACATAAAGGAACCGTTTCATTTCCCATGCATTAAATTATGTGTTGTCGGGAAGGTCGACCAATGACGGGACGGTTATAAGTCAGTCTGTGCGAGCAGCTTCCCCGCATTTTTCTACTCCAGTTTCTTTTCCTATTATCATCTCCATCCCTTCTTTCGCCTCTCTCCTTTGCAGTTTTCTCTTCAGTACTCTTCTCCTGGATTTATTATTATTATTCTTATTTTTCGTTTTCATCAGAACCTGTGTGATATCAATGGAAATACTGTTCGAAAACTTCTAAATCTATTAAACGACCCGTTCTCTATGTCCGATCTTCTATCTATATACAAGGAAATAATAGGCAAACACGAAACAGAAATCTATAGCCGGGCCATGGGGCAACCACCACCGCGTTGCGACTGTCCATTTGGAGTATTGCTCTTCTTGGGCGCGGAGACGTATCCGCCCTTGACATTGTCCGAGTTGATGATGACCCCGTTGGCGTCGCGCTTGATACCCAACTCAATCAGCTTAGCGAACACCTTCGCGAAGTGATCGAAGAAAAGTTCCTTGTCCTGGGCATATCGCTCCACCCAAACGCGGAACTTCGGATCGGTGACCAACGCAACGTCGGTCGGCAGCATCATCAGCTGCTCATCGCCTTCCTCCGCATCAGGATCCACATACACAAACTGCTGAATGCCGTTCTCCAGCGTCTTAGGCGTCCACTCGAGCTTAAGGAGCAGGTTGTAGAACTGGTTCGAGAAGCGGGTGGGGTTGTTCACCCAGGGGCCATGGAATCCACTTCGGTCCATGTGGCAGCGGCCCAAGTTGTGTCCTCCCGCCAATGCGACAATTTCTTGGTCGTTGAAGCCCATCCGGTTGAAGATGAAACGCAGGTGCTCGGCACCCTGGGCAGCGTCGGGCAGACGACCACGAGGTGGCACCTTCGAGTCGTCGACCAAATCCGTACGGCCGGGCTTCCATGGCACGTCGGGTCCGCCTAGCTCTTTGACCGCTACTACGCCAGCTAATGTCCACAGATCTGCGTATGTGATCCAGGGGTGCTTCTCCTTTACTGGTTCGAGGAAGGCCCGTCCGTGCTGAAGACCGGCGTTGGCTGGGTCGCCACCCTCTGCTTCATATCGCATGCCTGCACCATTGGAACCGCCTGTGTCCGATTCTGCGTCGTATGTGCCTGCGGAGTGCCTAGTGATGATGTGTTAGGTACGTCGCCCTTTGAGGGAAAGCAAGACGTGGAAGGAAAAAGAGAAAAGGAAAAACTAACCATGCTAGTCGAACAAATACAGGTCCTGCGCTACCATCGTCGTAGCCCGGCTTCTTCAGTTGGGCGACAATGTCCCTCCGTACGGCGTCAAAATCTCCTGGTGTGCTCATCTCGGCCGATAATTTGTCTGGGGTTAAAGGCGGGTATAGATGTGGGTCAGGGAAGCCTCAGTGAATTTTTTTTTATTTCCGATCGCGCTCTGGTGTGAGTGAGAGGTTCGAGAGACAGCGACAAATTTTAATGACAGAGAGAGGAAGAGATTGAAGACATTCAGGAAGAAATATGAGAGAAGTCTTTCGGTCCAGGAGGCGATGTCTTGCTGGTCGCACATGAAGAGAGGCAGTGGGTGGACCCGCGGCACGAATCAATAATTTGGCCGACAGTATCAAATGCCGAGGTTCATTCGCTTGTCCCTTACAGCGTCCTCTACAACGGGGCACTCCCCACGGAGAACCGGAGTATACTACAAATTGACGACCGTGGATTCTCGATGGAAACAATTAATCGCTGCTACTCCCGGTTCACCCCTTCGAGTCTACACCAGGGTACGGGTTGAGGCATTTGCTCCAAGAGGATTTCTTGTCAACTGGGTCCTTGTGATAACGGAGCAAGAAATCTTAAAAGCGATAGATCATCTACGACGTTTTTCCCTGGCCGGTTTTCGTGATCAGGCCCTGCCAGCAACCCGATCAAAAGCCGCCGAAACGAAGAACCTCGGAACTTGATTTCCCGACCAGCGAGAACTGGTCCCTGTCTGCCTATCAACTGCTCCATTTCTTCCGTCGCCCTAATTTTGCGCGCGAGTTGCGTCAGATAAGCCTGTGATCGCTGTCAGCCTTCTGCGTGTTTGGTTCCTATTATTAAAGCTGACTCTGGAACGTTCAAAGCATTCCAAGATGGATCCCGATGCTTAGTTAAGGTTGTCGCCACTCGTCCCGCTGCTGATAACAACGAATTCTTAACTGGCTATCGGCCAAGATCCACACATGTGAATGGTTTCGCCTTGTATATTGAGGTGTCAACATCCACTTCATTCCCACTTTTCCAGTCCGAAGAGTGGAATTTGTCGCACAACCAGCCATTATCTGCAGCCACCTACGCAGAATGGATGTGGACAAGGATCTCGTGGATTCAACTGTCTTAATTGTGTACAAAAGAGGTACGGAGGAAGGCACCTTTACCGATTAGTTTCCGCCAGAGTCGCATTTGTCTCTCTTCCCAACGCCTTTTCTCTCTCCGCCTGTGACCGAGACAACTCATACGTCCACTTCTGTGCCGCCAACTCCCTTGTCGCGTCATTGACATTACCTTTCACCCTCTCCAACCGCACCTTCCATTGCTTGTGGATTTGTTCGGAGTGTTTTACCAGGCCCTCAACTTTGCGGTGCATCCACTTCCTCTCCGCCCGCCACCGTCGTTCGCGTTGACGGTAGCGTCCTAAGTCTTGCTGCAGCCTTTGTTGTTTCAATCGCTCAGTGTTTTTAATGGTGATGAAGTCTTGAATGGGCCTGGTATGTCTAGCGCTCAGCGTGCCGCACGAAAGTTGTTTGGAGATGCAGATGAAAACGGCCGAAATATCGTCTGCGATTGATCGTAGGACGGCGGATTTTGAGGCCGATGAGAGACTATCTAGGTTCTGCAGGCGCATTGCGCAGGAGCCTGGACTGAAGCAGGGATCTGTGGCCGACATTGTACTGGCTCTTCCGTCCAAGGTGAGACTATTGTCAATACTCCAGCTGGAAGATTGATCAACGAAAACTTGTAGAATGTAAGGTAATATGCAGGTAGGTTTCATAAGTAATATCTGTAGAAACTAACCAGACTTTTAGTATATCTAGAATAAAAGGAATTAATGACGTCGATAAGATTCACTCTACACTAATCAAAGCCATGTCTTTCACTTAACCTTTGTTTGACCATGTAGGAGGTGCACGGACAAGCTCAAAGAGCTCAGCACGTATCGATCAATCGACAAAGCTCTTTCTTTCATGGCGATAGACAAAGAGAACAATCTCGTCCGAAGCAAATATTCAAATGGTAGCATCAGAAGAGATGATCAGCAAAGCCCTAATTGTAGCATCAAACATACCATACCGCTCTACAGTTTCTCCCCGCGCAGCACAGCTACAATCGCATCACCCACTTCCGTCGTCCCAGCCTTTCCACCCAAATCTGGCGTGCGGATACCGGAGTCTAGAACGGTTCGCACAGCCTCTTCGATCTGCTGTGCTTCACGTTCCATATCCAGAGAGTACCGGAACATCAGCGCCACGCAGAGAATCATAGCCACGGGGTTGGCGATGTTCTTGCCGGCGATGCTATCTACCGTTAGCTTGAACTCCAAGCAATATCTGTGTTGAGAGTTTAAGAAAGGATGAGAAAACTTACGTCGGCGCCGATCCATGTGTAGGTTCATACAACCCATTGGTCCTCCTCCGGGTCTCAGACGGCAGCCCATCCAAGCTTGCACTCGGCAACACGCCCAATGTTCCCACTATCGAGCCCGCCTGGTCAGAAATCATATCACCGAAGGTATTATCGGCCAGAATCACGCCGTTCAGCACGCGCGGGTTCGTCGCCAGAATCAACGATGCCGAGTCCGCCAGCTGATGCACCAGTTTCACCTGCGGGTACTCCTCTGCCATGGTCTTTCCGACGACGCGGCGCCAGAGCCGTGAGGATGCGAGCACGTTAGCCTTGTCCAGCGAGATGACGGGCCATGGGGGATCGTGGCGCAGAGCCAGCTCAGCAGAGAGACGGGTGATGCGTTGGATCTCGGAGGTGGAGTAGGCCCATTCGTCCATTGCTTCTCTCCGTTAGCACAGAACCCCGATAGATAGTAGTAATAGTAAAGGGCAGATAAATAGAGCTATGGAGATACCATACCATATTCATCTTCTTCCACCTTCCTCCCAAAATATGCCCCTCCACAGTTCTCCCTCACAACCACGAAGTCCACCCCCTCAATGATATCCTGTCGAAACGGACTAAACTCCCTCGCAACACTTCTACTCGGCGAATCCGCCGAGCAGGGCCTCAAATTCGCATAGATGTCCATCGCCTTCCGCAGCTGTAGCAACCCGCCCTCCGGTCCATCCAGCCCCCTCCGCATATTATCCCATTTCGGACCGCCCACGGCAGCGAACAGCACCGCGTCCGAGGCGAGAGCTGCTTGCTTGACCTCATCCGTGATCGACTTGCCGTGGCGATCGATGCTACACCCGCCGATGAGTTCGGAGCGGGTGTCGAACTGCACAGTGGATGTGTTGAAGGCGGAGAGCACCTTGGTGGCCTCGGCCATTATTTCAGGGCCGATGCCGTCGCCGGGGAGGACGAGGATGTTGTAGGTTTTTGCTTTGGTCATTTTTGTAGTCTGTCTTGGTTTGATTATACTAGATCTGTTTCGTCGTGCGTGATGGGCTTGAAGGAGGTATTGATTAAATAAGTGGATTGCTACAGAGTATATAATTCAATGTGCTCTTTTTATCCACCCCATGTTGCTCTTTATATAGATCCGTATAGGGTTCGGTCAAGAGACCGATTTGCGGGGAAGAAGACGGCGTTGCCCCGATATACGGCCTCGTCTTAGAGTTGGATAGGATTCGATCCACCATTTCATTCAGCCCGAGGTAACGGATTGCATATAGGCTATGGCCATTATTATTGCCCCTACCGATATCGCAGGGTAATAACCATAGATCTCCACAAGATGATCGTAGCCATACTACGGTACTATGTAAAGGATAGCATCCGGAAAAGGAAATACGTAGGGTAAACCCTCCCCCCTCATGTTTGCACCGTTTGTCTTTCAATTTATCAGATGAAAGATACAGATTTCCATGACCGATTTCACTGGAACTTCCACCCCGCTATTTTCCGCACCAGTGAGATAATATCCGTCACCATGGGCCAGATCGAAGAACTCCCCGACGACTTCGACGAGTCGCTCAACTTGAACAAGCAAACTCCCGAGACGCAAGATGCCCCGTCGGCGAAAGAGGTCGAGACCTCATTCCCGGTGAATAAAGAGCGAGCGGAGCAATTCGAGAAGGAGAATCCGGACGCGCCGAAGATGCCGCCTGCGATGGAGGCTGTGCGGTCGCATACGACAGACGAGCTTGTGGACATGATGAACAAAACGCCCTTGTTTATGACGGATATTGACAAGGCGGGGGATGAGAGTATGTCCTGTCCCATTTTCATTCTTCGTTGTTTGTTAGGTGTTTTATGGGATTCGGGGGAGTATATTGCTACTAAGATGGCCTGGGCTTACGCTTTGACTACGTATAGATGGCGAGAATGTGTTTTTAGATGCCCTCCACGCGTTGCAGAATGAGGGTACCCGCGGAGAAGTCGCCCAGAACTTCCGCGAACAGGGTAACGAAGCTGCGAAGGAGTTGCGGTGGATCGATGCCAAGGAGTTCTATACGAAGGCTATTGCCGTTGTCTTCGCGAAGGAGGATAAGTGGGAGAAGCCGGAGGATTTGGATGCGGAGCAGAAGTTGCTGCGCCAGGTTGAGGAGGCGTCTCATATCAATCGCGCGTTGTGTAATCTGGAGCTGGGTAGGTTTTCTTCTCTCTTTTCCTTCTTTACGATTGCTATGGGTTGTGTGAGGGGTGCTGATTTGTTAGGAAATTACCGGCAATGTACGCTTGACTGTGCCGCGGCTCTCAAGCTGAATCCGACGAATATCAAGGCGTTCTATCGTTCCGCCATGGCTTGTCTGAAGCTCGATAAGATCGCTGAGGCTGAGGATGCGGCAAAGCGGGGCTTGGCTATCGATCCCAACAATAAGTCTCTTCAGATGGCGGCCGAGAAGACCGCTGAGCGCAAGGCTGTCATCGAGCGCCTCGCTGCTAAGCGCAAGGCGGAGGAAGAGAGAAAGAGCAAGGAGAAGCAGTTGCTTGATGTTGCACTGAAGGCTAGAGAGATCAGGACCCGCAAAACGGACAAACCGGCCGACTTGGACGATGCGGTGATTCGTCTTGTCCCCGATCCTCTCTCTCCCGAGAGCACGTTGGAGTTCCCTGCTGTGTTCCTCTATCCCATGGATGCCCAGTCGGACTTCGTCAAGGCGTTTTCTGAAATGCACAGCGTTGAGGACCATCTCGAATACATCTTCCCCTTGCCGTGGGATACAAAGAACGAATATACCATTAACAATGTGGACTGTTTCATGGAGACTGCGACTGGAGGATTGATCAAGGCCGGGAAGAAACTGCCACTTCTGCAGATTCTTAGCGGCAGCAAGGTTGAAGTTGTGGATCAATTGGTGAAATTTTTCATTGTGCCGACCGCGAAGAGTGGCCAATTCATTGCGGAAATAAAGAGGAGGAAGCAGGGTTGAGAATGTTTCCCTGGTTTTTCCTGGAAGCCAAAGAGCTACTCCTCCCCGAGACTTGAGGCATCAGCGAGATGGTCGTTAGGCTGTGAGTGCGGATGGCAGACCTGCATCTGACTGTGGAGTTCTTCCGCCAACGACCATCAGTGCTTCACCACATGGACACAAGTGTGTGCCCATACAGCTCTCAGGTGTGAATATGGACCTCCGCTATTCCAGCTCGGGTCCACCTGTTCATAGGAGCCATGCAGTTCGTCTGATCATGCTCCAAACATGCGTGGGGAACATAGACCGAATGCCGTTATGATGATGACAATATATTAGTTCGTACATTATTAGAATAGAACGAATGCCATGAATAGAACCTCGGCTGACAGCAGTACCGCTGACATCGGACGTCAATCCATAATAGTCGAGAGGACCCCATCCCCTTAATTTACTTCTTGAAACCGATATTTATCCGTGACTCTAGACAGTGGAGCCATCCCTAACCATCGACTTATATCCACTATTGAATCCAGAACGACACCACTGAGGAATAACCGCCGGTCCATGCAAAGTCTCCACTCGATTTAGGCTATAAGAACTGAAATGCCCGAGACATTCTGATGTCCGAGTCAGCAACGGCGTGGAACCGTTTCAGATTGATTAACGCGGACGCTTGATTCTAAATCGCACACGGACCAACAGCCGTCCATGAATCAAATCGAACCGCTGAAGAAGTCCGGCATTAATTCTCTGCGATGGAGTCCTGCGATGCCGAGTAAATGAAACTGAGTCTAGGGTGGAGGCTATCCATGGTTTAATTTAGCTTGCTTCATCTTAGCTACGAAGGTCGACTTAGTCTAAATGGGATTTCGTATAAGATGTTTGGAGTCGACCTCGACATAAGCTTCTCTTCTGTTAACTCTTTTCGCTCCTTTAACTGTGATCCTGGTGATCCGATTGTCCAACGCTTACCTTCTTTTCTTCTTTTCATCGAGTAATTAGTGCAATGCGTTTCCAGCCTTTGACCACGGCTCTGGCTGTGGGTGTCTCTGCCCATCTGTTCGTTCCTTGCCCTGCTCTTTCTGCCATAATATCCAATCTCGAGCCGAGCAAAGATACTAACGGAGAATTCAAGCGCCCAAGCAGCTGGTCTGCACGACGCCGCCGTTGCAAAGGGACTCCTCTACTTCGGCACCGCAACCGATAACCCCGAACTCACTGACACCTCTTATGTCACCCAGCTAAACAACACGGGTGACTTTGGTCAGATCACTCCAGGAAACACGCAGAAGGTGAGACCCAGTCATCTTCCTGAAGAACCCAAAGAATATACGTGGCTGACGCAATTGAATAAAACAAATAGTGGGACTCAACCGAGCCATCTCAGAATGAATTCTCCTTCACCAAGGGCGACGTCGTTGCCGATCTGGCCGATGCCAATGATCAGAAGCTGAGATGCCATAACTTGGTTTGGCACCAGCAGCTGCCTAACTGGGGTATGTTTTATTTTAACGCGTGCCTCCGTCATGGTAGATATCGGATGCTGATCAAGACAGTCTCGAGCGGATCCTGGACCAACGAAACCCTAACTGCCGTTCTGCAGAACCACATCACAAACGTTGTGAAGCACTACAAGGGCCGATGCTACGCATGGGATGTAGTGAACGAGGGTACTTTTGTTATCTCCTAGCACCTCTGCACAATTACAGAGACTGACTCGAAACAGCCCTGGCCGACGACGGCTCCTACCGCGACTCCATCTGGTACAAGACTATCGGCGAGGCCTACATTCCTATCGCCTTCGCAGCTGCCGCTGCCGCCGACCCAGACGTGAAGCTCTACTACAACGACTACAGCATCGAGTGGGGCGGCTCCAAGTCCACTGGCGCCCAGAACATCGTCAAGCTAATCCAGTCCTACGGTGGAAAGATTGACGGTGTCGGTCTGCAGGCTCACTTCACCGTCGGCCAAACCCCCGCCCGCAAGGACCTCGCCAGCAACCTGAAGTCCTTCACCGATCTCGGCGTCGAGGTCGCCTACACCGAGGTTGACGTGCGTATGCAGACCCCAGCGACGGAGGCCAACCTGCAGCAGCAGAGCACCGAGTTCGCCAACATCGTCGGTGCTTGTCTCGACACGAAGGGCTGTGTCGGCGTTACCATCTGGGACTGGACCGACAAGTACTCCTGGGTGCCCAGCACGTTCCCGGGCTACGGCGCTGCCTGCCCCTGGGACGAGAACTTTGAGAAGAAGCCCGCGTACCAGGGCATTTTGGAGGTTTTGGGAGGTGAGGCTTCTGCTTCTACTTCTACTTCTGTGTCTGCTTCTGCTTCTGCTGCACCTGAGACCACTTCCGCCCTCCTCTCTAGCACTGCTGCCGCTGTCACTCCTACTTCTTTCAGCACCAGCATCAGCACACCTCCTGCCGCCTCTACTACTTCTTCCAGCTCTCCAAGCACTACTCCGGTCACCTCTTCCAGCACTTCCTCTTCTTCAACTACGCCAACTGACGTCATCCCTCAGCCTAGTTCAACCGTCACCAGCCGGGTCAAGGTCTACTACCAGTGCGGCGGCATCAACTACCAGGGCAGCACCGAGTGCGAAGAGGGTCTGACCTGCAAGAAGTGGAACCCGTACTATTCGCAATGTCTTCAGGTCTAGGTGTGTCCAAGCCTCCGGAATAAGTCTGTTGAATTTATCAGTTATCCTTGCTGTAATACTTTCTTACACCTCCATTGATGTACACGACTATTATAGTCGGATAAGTACTGTATTTTCGATATACATATTTGAAATAAATCTTTTTCCATTGATAAATATAAGTTATGTACATACCTGCTGTTGGTAGCTATACTAGGAAAGGAATACAACCAAACTAACTAATCCTACCCACCGCAAAACAGCAGCCTCTCAATAAAAGCCCAACCTGCTAAATCGCAATAAACCCTAATCAGCCAACTATCCGTATAAAAAACAGGGATCACCAACCCACTTAAAAGTCAAGTTAAAACGAAACGAACCCTGCCAAACTCCCCTCTAGTTACCAGACCTAACCTAGTCCTTACATCGAACCAGTGAATCAGTCCACCTGGCATATCCCATATTAGCCCACAGCTACTTACATAGAAGTTAGATTTAGCACCAAATGCAGATCAAGCTCGGTTCTATCTGCATGCAGCGAGGGGTTGCCAACTGGCAAGGTGGGCTGGGATATAGATAGTAGTAGTAGTAGTCACATAGAGCATATTGACTCGCGGCAAAAATGATTGCATATACTTTATACCGTTTGGGTAGGGGGGCTTCGTGCTCGGGCCTCCCCTGTTTCCGGGCACGGACGGGGTAGCTAGAGATCTGTGCACACACACACACTCTCTCTCTCTCTAGCTGCTTATCATATAATAGGATTTAATCTGGGATTGCATGGTATGGTATAGCCTTAGGTAGGCTGGGTTAGTTTAATCTAGGTAGTAACCCCTCTTTGATTTCTCTACGAATAGAATAGAAATACCTATGGGCTCTGTGGGCAAGATAGGAATCCCAACGCATATGCAGCTTGAGGCTTGAGATTTGGACTAGGTCAGGCATTGGGATCTGACCGTTGCACACGCACTTACTTACCCCTTGCTTTACTTTCCGCCCTCGCGTGGTTTTATCCTGCGTGTTCGTTTGGGAGGCTATAAAGAGGACCCATGGGGTAAGTTGTAAGTCTTGTTTTGTTCTTTCAGAATTTATTTCTATTTAGCATCATGTCTTGATTCCCAGTGCATTATATCTGTATATTGCCCGTGTCTGTTCCCATTCCCATTCCCGTTCCTTTTTTTTTTTTTTTTTTTTTTTTTTTTTTTT